TATACCACATGAACTAGAATTCTTGCAACCAGGAAGACTGGGCTGTCCTGTGAGGTTACTACTCAAGCTTCTCACTGGGGGCCAGTGTCGGAAGAAGTGCGATAAATCCCCAGCCCTCTATGGTCCTGGCTTCTCTCAGAACGGTTACCAAGGCCCTAGGATCTAAAGATGATTGTGTCATCAGCCTGGTACCTCTAGGGCTTTGGGGAGAACGGATCTGCATCAGGAGGGGAAAAGGGACTTGTCACGCACCAGCCATTCAACCTTGGGTAAGTTTTTTGTCTCCATCTGGCAAAAGGGGAGTGGTGAGGGCGTTTGTTCTCAGGGTTACTGTGAGGCTTAAATAAGATCACGCTGTGGTACGCCCAGCGCGGCCACGGGCCCAAGCCAGAACATGACAAAACCAAGTCTTCTCCTCCTTTCTTATGTTTATTTTTAAGCCTGTCAAGGACTGAAGGAGGCCCTTGTTCAGCAGAAGAGAGGTAAGAGCAAGCCTTTGTCTGTAAAAATGCAGAAGCCTGGTACAGAAGACCAAAAACACACAGCCACAGGTCTATTCCCACATACGTGCGTTTGCCACTGGTTTGCCATCTCTGCCGAGTCACAGAAGGATATTAAAGTTTGTCAGCCCTTTAAAGCCAAACAGGCACGTTTTCCCTTCTCCTCGACAGACATTTTAATGTCACTGCAGTAGCTGGAGTCTTAGGTGTCGTTAACCCACATGCCTACCTCCCGTGACCAGGGTGGGGGAAGAACAAGCACACTTTGTTCCCAAAGCCTTGGTTGCGACTTGCTGGTTTTCTGATGACTTAAGAAATGGAGCAGTAGGACTTTTAGCTGCTCCAGGTGGTAACTGGGGCTAAATGTACTGAGCTTAAGGGAAAAGCTGAACATTTGGAATCCCAAAATTTAGAGATTCAAAGGCTCTTTAAGAATTCTTTCCTCTGATGGACAGTGCCTGCCAGGAGCTGTCCTGCACCCCTGGCCAGAGCTGGACAGTCCTCTGCCCGATGAGCTTTGAATGAGGAAAGACCAGGCTCTGCCAGGCCAGCGCCGGTCATCTGAGGAAGCTCCTGCTTCCCTAGGCCTTCGAAGATACTGACTTTTTCCCAAGAAGAATCTTCTTGCCCTTTCCCCTCTCATTCACAGGTTGATTTATTCACCTGCAGATTTCTGTGGGAGCCTTTATGCACCAGGCACTGTCCTGAGCTCTTGTCGGTGGGGCAGTGATGAGGCTGTCGACCCTGCCCTCAGGGCCAGGCCACTCTTCCCTGGTAGCCAGGGAAGCAGTTAAGAGGCTCTGCAGTGCAGGGGAGGGGCCTTGGCTAAAATAGAAGCCATCAGTCAAGCAGAACTTCACCGAGACCTACCAGAGGGAGGGGGAAGGAAGAGAAAGAAGTAGATGGATTCCAGGGATTTATGGCCTGGGGCTTGGTTAAATTTGGGGGAGTGAGAGAGGAAGGGATCAAGAGTGATCAGATTGCCAGCTCAGGGGCAACGGTGACACTATAGAAGGGGAAGCAGTTTTGGAGCAGGGTGGTTGGGAGGAGTGAGAATGAATCAGGCTTTAGACATGGTGGGTGTCAGGCCCCTGTGGGAGGTCGGAATGGGAAGTCCTGCAGGCAGCGGATATATGGTTTCATGGTACAGGAGAAACATCGGGACTGGAGACGTGAGTTCAGGAGTCAGCCATGCATGAGTGGTCAAGGAAGGCAGAAGAGGGTGAGATGGTGGCTCAGGAGGGAGACCAGGACAGCACTGTGAAGGGCCTATCCTTAAAGGATGAGGACAGAAGAGGAGCCTCCAAATCTAGAGGACAAATCCTAGAAAGTAAGGAGAAGGCACACAGGATGTAGCATCAGATTCACCCTTGTCCAGATCCCATGTTCTCAGGGCAATTTCCTCTGGGAAAGCAGCCTTCCTCCTTTGCCTTCCACGCGGATGAGGATGGTGGATCCTCAGCCAATTGTGGATCACAGCCCCACGCCCCCTTCATTGGTTTGGGATGGCTGATGACCCCTCAGAGCCAATGAGGAGGCATGCACGTGAGTGAGGGGAGGAAAGGAAGGCTATTGTGGGAAGGAGAGAGTATGGTAGAGATGTGAAGTCAGGCACCAACACAACCATTTGTAGTTGTGAGGGAAAGCTTGGAGTTACTGGGGGTCCTCTAAGTGAAGCCTGCAGATGAGGCCTGTATTGTAGATGGCAGGACAGAGAGAAATCAGGTCTTAGGTAACATTGTTTGAGCCACAAGATCATGCTTCACCTGAAGCCAAACCTCCCTCTAGGTTTTTCAGTTATGCAAATCAATAACTTCCCTTTCCCGTTTAAACTGGTCTCAACTGAGGTTTTGTTTGTTTTGCTACTCGCAATACAGAGTCCTAATAAATGCACAGCCTGAAGAAGAGACCTCTTGGGGTCAGTGGGTAGAACAGGGGGTGGGAGGGGAGGTGTCAGGAGTTAAGAAACTGTGACACATTTGTGTCCCTGAATCGCTGTCACCTACAGAGTCACAACAGGTTTTCAATTTTGCAATCTCTTTACACAGTGTTTTTCTTCTCCTGCTGTATCACTTCTCTGGCAATACAATTAACATGATTCCAAAGTTGCTTACTCACTAAAAATGAGATGTAGTTGGAAAATGGGTTAGCCTCCCCTTCTCCTTATGTTGCCTGCCCAGATGCTGAAGGGCTATCTTTATAAACCAGGGTCAATGGTATGTAATGGTGTGCCTCTCCCTCTCCAGATCCATCTTCCATACCATGGCCAAGTGGGCTCTCTAAAATGCACATCCCTGCTTAAAAAACACTCATAGTTACAAAAATGAGCCAGGCATGGTGGTGCACACCTATGGTCCCAGCTACTCAGGAGGCTGAGGTGGGAGGATCACCCGAACTTGGGAAATGGAGGCTGCAGTGAGCTGTGATTGCGCCACTGTACTCCAACCTGGGCAACAGAGTGAGACCCTGTCTCCAAAAAATAAAAAATAGCAAAACATTTATACTTCCCATGGCCTGCAGGAAGAGATCACAGACCCCTCAGGATGGTATATATAATCACACACATGTTCTAGATCCTGGGTGGCCTTCCTGCATCAGCAACGCTCCTAACCCTCAGACGGCACCGCTGTGTGAACTCCAACTGTGCGAATGTGTCCTGCACCTCCAGGCCTCTGGGCCTGCGTTCCCATCTCCCCTCTGCTTGGAAAGGTAATTCACAATAATAGCTCACGTTGACGGGGCACATCCTATGTTTCAGATGCTCCACTAGAGGCTGCAGGTGGATTATCTTGTTTAATCCTCACAACTTCCTGATGAGGTAGTACTGTTATTACCCCCTCCACCCTGCCACAGTGTCACTCTGGCTAAACAACTCAGATTTGGGGGAATATGCTAGAGAAGCACATAGGAGTTCTGGATTGAGGTCTCCCACTGGAGTTAGGGAGTGGAGGATCAGATGAAAAAGGCCAGAGGAAATATGATAGTCCAGAGGCTAGGAAGGAGTTTGAAGATGAAGGGAGGAAAAGTAGGTGAAGAACTAGGGCTGCGTTGCAAGGCTGGGCAGCTCCATCTCGGTTGATGTTGGGGCTTCTCCCCACTCAAGCAAGGGTCTGGGGGCTTAAGGAACATATAGCTCAGGCTAGGTCCTCAGGACTGCGAGCTGCCTGGACACCATAGATAATGGCTGTTGTCCAGGATTTCCTAGTCCCTGAAGACTGGAGGCTCTACAATGTCCCTGCCGGGCTTACCTGAGTGTGTGTGTGTGTGTGTGTGTGTGTGTGTGTGTGTGTGTGTGTTTATGGGGGGGGATTATTTGCACCTTTGACAAGGTCAGCAACCTTGTGTGCCAAGTAAGGGTGACCACCCTAGGGTCCTCACTGTCCACTTCCCTCCACGGTCTCCCCACCGCCGCCCATCCCTACTGTCTGTCTGCCCCTTTTTCTGGTTGGGAGAAGCTCCCCAAATCCCTTCTTCAGCTACTTCCCTCTCACCTGCTCCAAGCCCTCCCTCTCTCAGACAATTCAGCATAATTCCCCTGAAAACGTGTTTTTACAAAACAAAAGCCAGGAAGGGGAGGAGGTGTGTTCTGGGGTGCTTGGCAACAGCAGCCTCTGCAGCCGGCGGCTTGGCTGGATGATGCGGCTCACCCAGCAACACAAAATCCTCTGAGAGCAGAACTCACAGAGGCTGGGCTCCCTCCCACACCGGAGAGGGGAGTGTCTGCAGCCGGAAGAGCAAACCGCATGTAATTGCCTCCAGGATTCCCCATCCGATGTGTAATGACATCTTCATTTGATTAATGGCTGTCTTCTGCATTCACCACTGAGTGTGAACTGTATGAAGACAGGGTTTTGTGTCTGTTCTGGTCACTTTGGCCCTAGCACAGAGTCCAGCACGCAGTAGGTGCTCAAGAAATGTTTGTGGAGGAGGGAGGGAGGGAGGGAGGGAGGGAAGGAAGGAAGGAAGGAAGGAAGGAAGGAAGGCAGGCAGGCAGGCAGGCAGGCAGGCTTCCTTTCCCCTCTGTGAAAACTCCAAATCTTTGCTCTTGATTTTTTTTAGCGTGTACCCTTTTGTATTTCAGCTTCTCCCAGCCGAAAGAATAAAACTGGTAAGAGGAAGGGAAATGCAGCCTCACTGAGGAGGCCTCCGTTCTGGGAGGGCTTCCCAGGCCTAGAGAAGGGAGAAAGTAATTTGGAACTACCCAAGCATTGGTGATGCCAGACTTCACCCTACCCTGGGGATATTTGAATCTCAAAAAGGGGGCATGGGGATCTGACAAAGCACTTGCATATATAAAGAACTCCTCCAAATCAACAAGGCAAAAACAGTAGATACATAGGCAAAAACCTTAGAAGAGCCACGTCACAAAGGAGGACCTCCAAATGGCCAAGAAGCACATGAAAAGATGTTCAACCTCATTAGCTATCAGGGAAATTCAAATTAGAACTACACCAGGATGGCTGAAAGTGCAAAGACTGACAATATCAAGGGCTGGTGAGGATGTGGAGCAACTGGAACTCTCCTATGCTGCTGGGGAAGGGGTAAATTAATACCATCCCTTTGGAAGAACCGTTTGGAAGCATCACTAAAGCTGAACATATTCATGCCTACTCCAGAAATCCTGAGCCCAGGTACATATCTAACAGAAGTTTGTTTATAAAGGCACCAAAAGTCAATTATACAAGATATAAGAATGTTCATCGTAAAGTCGTTTGTATTAGTCGTAAACTGGAAACCACCCGAACGCCCATCCGTGGTGAGTAGATAAATAAAGTGGGGGTAATTTAGACAATGAAAATGTGTATAGCAATGAGAATGAATAAAGAACTGCCACCTGCAACAACGTGAACAAATCTCACAAATGTGATGTTGAGTGAAAGAAGCCAGATAGGTAAGACAGCACACTCTGATTCCGTTAATTTCAAGTTCAAAAACATGTATGCCTTAAGTCTGTGGTGTTAGAAGTCAGGACGGGGGTTTCCTTTCAGAAGGAGCGGGGCAAAAACGGACTCTGGGAGTGTTGGTAAAATTCTGTTTCCTGATCTGGTGACAGTTACAGGTTATGTTCACTTTGCAGAGATTTATGTTGTATGTGATTGGTTCAGTTTTGCATCTTTCTGTATGCATGTTATACTTCAACAAAAAAGAAGTTTACTTTAAAAAGAGGCAAGTAGGACTGGGTGTGGTGGCTCACACCTGTAATCCTAACACTTTGGGAGGCTGAGGCAGGAGGATCACTTGAGCCCAGGAGTTTGAGACTAGTCTGGGCAACATAAAAATATTTTTTTAAAGAAAATTAGCTGTGTATAGCAGTGTGCGCCTCTAGTCCCTGCTAGTCAGAGGCTGAGGTGAGAGGATCACTTGAGCCCAGGTAGAGGGTGCAGTGAGCTGTGATTGCACTGCCACCTCCAGCCTGGGCGACAGATGGAGACCCTGTCTTTAAAAGAAATTAAATTAAAAATAAGAAGAGGACGGTGGGGGAGAGCAGTATGGAAAGACAATGCTCAGCCCAAAGGGGTGAGTAGGGGACTCTGTGACTGTGTTTATTGGAGTTTAGAGACAGCCTCTGGGAGGGAAGGGAGGGGAAGGAAGCAGGTGGGGCAGGGAGAGAGGCGGTTTCACCGCAGGCCAGCCACAGCCTCCCCAACCCCTCAATCCCTTGCAGGAGTCCTGGAGCTAGATGAGTTCCTCAGAGTCGTCCTGACTTGGGCTGTCATGGCCACACCTTTATACCCCAGCATTGGTCAGTCACGGAATGTGCGCTGCCCAGGAAGAGGAAGGATCTCAGGCCTGCTTGCCCTCTGCAGCTGAGACCATCTGGAAGGGGTTGGCCTGACTATAGCTCTCCCAGCATGTCCCTCTTTGAAGGGGATCTGGGCGACCACAACAGCAAGCCTGCCACCTGAGTTTAGAAGATCTATTGGCCTGGAAAGATTTTTTTTCAGATCCCTCAGTCCCAGCACTCCTAGTCTGGTTAAATTCGTCCAGCGGGGCCCAGCACCCATAGGACCTGCTTCGCATCATAGCCTGCAGACAGGCTGCTTCCCACACAGGATCCAATGCAAAGACACCAGAGGTCTTTGCAGTTTGCCTCTCACACCTCAGCCAAAGCCTCTCCTTGGCCTGGATTCACTTGGTGAAATCCAGCTGTCCTGTAAGACTTGAGAGTCACCTCCTCCAGGAAGCTCTCCCAGATCTTGCTCCTTCTCCCTGGAAGGCTGGGCTCTTGCTCTTCTGAGCCCCCTCCAAGCACCCTAGCACCCCGCCTTTTGTAAAACTCTTATCATACTCTTTGTTTACCTGCTGGTAGAAGCAGGCCGAGATCAAGAGATGCCTTGTCACTCCTGATCACTGATACTGCACAACAGGGACAACAATTCTGATGGCTACCATGTGCTGAGCTTTTCCAGCCAGGCTTGTATTTGCTGTGCACATCCATGCCTGAATTTACTAAATCCCACCAACCAACCAACCCTGTGAGGTCAGAGTAGCTACCTTATAAAACAGGCATGCTTGCCCACAATCACACAACCACTAACTATCAGAGGTAGCACACATGTGGGAGTCAGTTTGAAGTCCCAGTATCCTCTGGAAATGGTGGTTAGGGAAGGAGGGGAGGAGAAAAGGGAAGGGAGGGGTGGGGAAGGAAAGAGAAGGAAAAAGGAAGGAAGAAGGAGCGAGGGAAGAAGAGAGGAAGGGAAGGAGGGAGGGAAAGAAGGAAGGAAAGAAGAAAGGAAGAAAGGGAGGAAGGAAGGAAGGAAGAAAGGAAAGAAGGAAGGAATAAAGGAAGGAAGGAAGGAAGGAAGGAAGGAAGGAAGGGAGGAAGGAAAGGAGGTAGGGCTCTCTGTCCATGGCCCTGAGGACAGGCCCATTGGCAGCTGTTTCACATTTGAAGAGGGACTCAGGAAGCTATGGGAAGCTGCTGAGTGCGAGAGCGCAGTCCCCCAGCCCCTCCCTGAGCCCTGCCCATCTCTCTGTTTCCAGAACCTCTTGTTCTCCCTGGGATCCTGGCCTGGGGAAATGCAGTTGTCAAATCAAAGCCTGCCTGTGGGAGCAGGTTCATGGGCCAGATCTAGAGCAGAGACAGGCTTAGTTCACAGTTTTAATCCTGATGTTTACTTTCTTTCTTTCCACTCCTAGTGGCTCCCTTTGAAGAACTGCCTTGGGGTTCATGTTGCAGCATCAAACAGGGATGGAAGATGCATCTTGCTTTAGCAGCAGGACCCTGGAAAGCAGCTGAAGCCCTGGAGGGTGCCTGGCACACAGAATCTTGCGCTGAGCCCGGAGCACAATGGGAGTGGGCTAGCGGGGTGGGTTCACAGCTGGACTGGGAGCAGCAGACATACAGGCCGTAGGCACAGACACATACATACAGTCATGCAGATTGCAGGATGCCTGAGAGCACAGACTCTCACATGCACAAACACGTGCATGATCACCAATGTGCATCCAGACAGTAGCCCCACATGCACGCACATGCATGCACACATGTGATGTGTACATAGATGGACACATGTCTATGCCCACTAACACTGCAGAGACACACACAAAAGTGTCTGGCAAGGAACACTATTTTGTCCTCAATTTTCTGCCAGCGAGAGTCTACTAACTCCATCTCTGAAATGTCCGTGCTTATTGTCCCTCTTCTCTACCTGTGCCACAGCCCTAGTCCCTGAAACTCCCACCAAGACCCCTGGGCAATAGCAAAGTCAGGAAAGGATTCCTGCTCCGCCTCTACTCCACCCTTAAGCCCATCCTACATGCAAGAGCAGGAGTTATCTGGGTATCAAGCAAATCTAACCACATCACCTCCCCACTGCTTAAAACGCTTTCCTACAGGATGAAGTTTAAATCACTTGGCATCCCATATAAGGCCCTTGACTGTCTGGTATCAGCCATAGTCTGGCCTCAGGCCCTGTCATGGAGCCCCCTGGACTCAATGCTCTGGCTGAGGGCCTCCAGGATGAAGATGCTGTGTGCAAAGTCTCACACTTTTGCTGTTGCTGGGCTACTATGTGAAATTCCCTCCTCCCTCCTTCCACCTTCCCTATGCTGAACTGCCACTCCTCCATCCTCCATGGCCAGCTAAGCCAACACCTCCCCACTTCCTCCTGACAACCCAGGCACAGCCTGTCCCATGGCTGTCACAGCCCTTTCTTGGGCTCTTAATGGTATCATTGTCACCTGTGTGCTCATGAGCCTCCGCCACTCAACTCCAAGCACATCAAATACAGAGCCCAAAACATACTGGGTACTCAACAAATTTCTGGGTGTGAGTGAATGAATGAATTAGTCTGTAAGACAGGATCACGCTAGGTGATTGTTCTGGCTACAAAACCTGGGCATGTCCTGTATGTAACTCCTATGATCTCAGCCTCCACATAGGTAAAAAGGGCTCTCTACCTCCTGGCAGAATCTATGGTTCAGACCATGGAGATGTATATAAATAACTGAGCTGAGTGGCTAACATGGTGGGCGCTCCACAGATGACAGCCATAGTTGCTGTCTTTAACTTCTATTTTTATTTCCACTGAAGTCTTTCCATTCATGTTTCTTAATTCTCCATCTCCCTCACTGCCTATCCAGTTCAGTGCTGGGCTCCCGGAACCGGCTCATTGAAGGTGTGTTGTCGGATTGATCGGCTGAATGGCTTCTTAAGGCTTGTTTCCAGTCTGAGAACTCTGAGCTGAGTACCGCTCTTCCTCCCTCCCAGCCTCCCCCGAGACTGGAAGCAGAGAGCCGTACAGAGATCACTCCTCTTCCAGGCTCCAGAAGCTGAACAGCTGCTCTGTTTGGAGTTCTGTGCGCTGAGCTGAGTTAGGACCTGGGGGGACGGGAACAGCTGAGCCTTTCTGCTCCAAAAAACAGAGTCATTTCAGCCACAGCCACCCAGCAGCTGCCTAGCCCCTCCCAGACGCCCCCAGGGATGCTGCACATGTGGCTAGGGTTCCCATAGGAACCTCTGTGGAGACCTGCCGTCCCTGCTTCCCCACATCTCCTTTTGGACTTGTGAGAGAGGTTAGGAAGAGGAGGGGAGGGGAAAGGACAGGACTGGCAGGCACTTTCGTACACAAACACCCAGTCTCTTAATCCTCACAATAACTCTAAGAAATATCCTTTTATTATCCTTGTTGTACTGACAAGGAAACTGAGGCCCAAAGACATCTGACCCAAGTTCACCCAGGTAACGAACAAGAGAACTGGTCTGCCACCTTATCGGTTTGTACTGATGCAGTTAGTGTCAGTCAGTACCAGCTAGGGATCTCTGGTTGCAAGCAACAGAAACCAACTCCCACTATCACAAACAAAAAATATACTGAAGGACTGTGGTGCCACACCAGAAGGAAAGGAAAAGCTGAAGACACATGATTGGAAAGGACAGGAAGCAGGGCAGCATCAGGATCTGGGTGCCAGGAATGGACCATCATTTCATTGGAATAAATAAACTTCTATTTTTAAATTCTTTTGTCTCTCCATCTAGGATTCAGGTTTGGGGAGGAAGCTGGGCCCATTGCCACTTGCTGGCTGGAAGAGGACAGACTGCTGTAATTGACAGTACTACCAAGCCTATATTCAATGGGATAGGGACTGCCCCTCCCTCCAAATTGGGATGCTGTTTCCAGAAGAAAGGGGAATGAATAGTAGGCAGGCTGAATCCCAAGCTCACCTGACTGCACCATGCTGTGATGGGCTGCAGGGTGGGAGAGTTTCTACGGCTCTCTCTAACGGAACTAGACCCACTCAGGAGGCAGCAGTGGTTAGAAGATGGGTACTGGGAAGAAGGAAGCTGGAAACGACAGTCTTCATTATCGTGGGAACAAAATGCATTTACATCTCAGTGTTATCCACCCTGTTAACTGACCTCTAACATCCCAGTACTATCACTCTCTTTTTCTCTTTACCCGATATTTAATTCCCAGGATCCCAGAGAATTATTAATCACCAGCCTTGATTGGTAGAAAGAGTCCTAGTCACCTTCTAACATTCTATATGATTTACTTGTGTTAATTATTCTTTTTTTGTACAGGCGGGTCTCACCATGTTGCCCAGGCTGATCTCGAACTCCTGTTCTCAAGTGATCCTCCTACCCCAGCTTCCCAAAGTACTGGCATTCGAGGTGTGAGCCACCATGCCTAGCCCATGTTAATTGTTTACTGCCTGACTCCCCTAACCCCTTTAGAGTGTAAGATCCAGGAGGGCAGTGATTTTCTCCTGTTTGCTCACTGCTGTCTCCCCAGTGCCTGAAAGAAGTGACTGGCACAGAGCAGGTGCTCAATAAATATTTGCTGAATGAATGAGGAGGTACCAATCTCTTTGACAGGCATTTGGGATACAGGGATGAACCAGAAGACAGATCCTGACCTCATGGAATGTATAGCTTCCATGACTTTAGTGAGACAGAAACAATTACAAAAACATGTAGCAAAAGAACAAAACTAAAATAATGAAAGATTGTGATACATATTTTGAAGGAAACACACAAAGGTTTTAAAAAACAGAACTAAGAGGGTAGGAAACTACTTAAGATATGGCAGTCACAAAAGGACAGAAGGCCTGTCTCAAGCAACATTTAAATGGAGACCCAAAGGGCGAGAAGGTGCTGACCGTGAAACGTGTGAGGGCCGCTTCTTCCAGGCGGAGGGAAGAGTATGTACAAAGGCCCTGAGCCTGGAAAGAACTTGGTATATGTGGGGAGCTGGACTGTGAAGGTCAGTGTGGTTGGAGATTAGTAAGCAAGGGCCAGAGGCCTACAGGCTGAGGATGGAGAGTGTGCCAGGTGCTGGGTCGACAGCCCCTTACAGGCGATGGCATGGAGCTTGGATGGCATTCTGGATATATTGGGAAGCTATCAGATGGTTTTTAACATTAGTGCTTGGCCCCATTTGCATTTCAAGCTGACCATTCCAGCTACTGGGTAGAGAATGCATGTAGACAGGGAGTAGGGGACCAGTTCGTAGGTAACTGTGGTGGTCCAGACTGGGGCTGAACTCAGGTGGCCGAGGCTCAGAGGACAGTGGAAACCTTTGAGTCCCTTCCCAGTTATAGTCTCCATGATAGGTGCTATCATCAGGCTGGATGGCATCACCCTGCAGGGGTCACAGAGACACCCCCCTTACCAGCCCACTCCCAGCCTGTGGGTGATAGATAGACAAACTCATGGGCTGGCTAGGCCCTGGGCCTAAGTGACAGGTGACGGATGGGGTTGAAACTGAATGCTCTGAGCCATGTGGCCAATGCACTGCTCCAAGGAGGACTTTGGAGCCAAGAGTTAATTTAAAGAAAGGAGTGGGGAGCTCAATATCGCTTCCTCCACTGCTCAATTAGTGGAGAGAGCTGCAGGGAGCTGGAGTTGTAAAGACCCCCTTAATCATCTCTGTCTGCCTGGCAGCATGCAGGAGTGTGGCAGGGATAATTGCACCTACCCATTAACAAATGCAATTAAGGCGCCTGGGCCTCTAGCACCCCCTTCTCCAATTAAACAGCAGATGAGGGGCCTGTGGGGGTGGCCTTTGAGATGAATCACTTGAAGCTGAAACCTTGGAGCCTGGCAGTCTGGACAGAGAGGCGATTAGAGACGATAAAATCATGATGAGGAAGGAGAGACTCATATCCAATCCCAGCCCGCTCCAGCTTGAGGCCCAACCCACAGTTGGACAGATATTCTTTGGGATAAATTAGAAGAAGTTCTGCTTTACACATAAGAAAGTCAATATTTAGAACCCACCGACCACCACCTCCAGCCAAGTGCTTCCTCCATGCCTGACATTCACTGAGTGTCTAGATACAGGTAAAGTCCTGGATGATTCATTTTGATGAGAAACTGTGATGTCTGGGTATGTTGGCAGGGAGGGTCCAGGAAGGCATGTTCCTGTCCTGTGTAGGGGGATGGGGGTGGAGGAAGGGGCCTTCCTTTTGTGAGCACCTCTAATATGCCAGGCCTCATGCTCCCTCCCTTTCCATATGGCATATCCTTTAATTTAATCCAGATCCCACCAGCCTCACACAACAACCATGATCTCTTCATTAGGTGATGGAATAGAAGTTTGGGGAGCTCAAGAACCTTGTCTAAGATCACAGAATTAGCAGGTGGTGGAACTGGTGGAGCTGGGATTTGAACCCTGATCTATGTGACTTCCAATAGGCCACTCCCCTATGCTGAGATGCTTTGAAATTGCAACTGCCAAGATCTTGCCCCTTGTGCCCCTTGATGTCCCCATGAGGGTGGACTCAGGGCAACACTTCAGATGTTATTCCCAATCTCTCCCTGCTCCCCTTGGCTGAATCCCTGAACTTCTGAAACAAGGCCTCTCTGTGGTTCCTGCTGTGGCTCAAGGTAGGATCTGACAAGTTGTCAAGTCCCGAGGTGCCGACCAACATGCTCATCTCAAGCTGAAATAATAAAATAAAGAAATCTCTCCTACCTTAATTGCCTCTCCCTATTCTCTTTATGCGTTTCGCCAATTACAAATGCTATGAATCATTATGCATGTGTGGATCATCACTTTCATTTAGCATCTCCACTGAAGCTCCAGGCGCTGAAGTGCATAATTGAAAAGCTCCACGATTTAAGTTTGCAAAGAGGAGGCTCAGCTCCTCTGAACATCACAGCATGCAGGTCTCCCCTGCTGGGGCCTAGACAACAGCCAGGAGATGACAGCCTGCATCTGCCCGGGGACCCAGCCGCACCAGATGAGTGCTGAAGTAGTTCTACTTTTGCCCAGGGGAGCTCAGGCGGTGAGTAATATGTTTCTCAATTCCCAATTCCCCCATCTTATTTCCCTGTGAACTTTGCTTTTGTTTTTTAATTTTTTTAAATTTTGCTGTTTTTGTTGTTGTTGTTTTCCTCTGTGGCTTCGGAGAGCAACAAAAGTCACTGGGTTGCTATCTGCTAGTTACCCCTTCCTTCAAGGCCTTCCTGAACTAATTCCAGGACACCTGCTCCTTTTCGTCCCCTACATTCTTCCTGAGTATGAGGCCCTCCCAGCTCTGCCTCACTCACTTCTGACTCCATAAAAGCTCCCATAAGATGGCAAGAGAAAGGGGCGGGGATGACCAGCTGCAGCTTGGCCCAGGTGAGGAATGAGCTGCCTGTCTTTAACAGCAGCCAGGCTCTATCTTAGCTGCCAGAAGAAGAACCGTGTCTTCTCCTGCACCCCCATAACGTCTATGACATGGCTGGGCATTTTGACATGGCCATGGAGTCCTCTTTCTTCCCCTCCTTTCCTTTCCCGAGCATTTCCCAAATGTCTACTATGAATCTGGCTAAGTTCCAGGGGCTGAGGACCGAGCAATAAATAAACCTGCTCCCTGTCCAGTAGGAGAGACACTCCAGTAAGAAACATATAGTAACAAATACAGTGTGAGAAGTTTTTCCATAGATGCAGGAGCAAAGACCTCTCCCTGGGAGCAGGGAGGAGGGAATTCAGATGGGAAAGGCAGGCATTTGCATTCAGTCTTGAAGGCTGAATAGGGCAGGGTAGGCACAGTCATTCCAGGAACGGGAAAAGCCTAAGCCAAGTAAAGACAGGCACGAAAGACATGGCATGTTTCATGCCACCTTGGCCCTGCTGCTTGCAAGGCCCTCAAATCCTCAGAGTTTCATAGAGCCAGCCCCAAAGAGGATGGCTCTGCCCTCAGATGTCAGCCCCTTGAGCCAGATGGGAGCGCTCAAGGGCTCAGACACATGCCCCTCCTCTTCTAGATAGATTGGAGTGGAAGTGGGGAGGCCACAGGACACCGGGACTGAGGCCAGCACTCCAGATTCAGGGAGAGCCCTTGGCACACACATCTTGGGTGACAACCTACTTCTAGCATAGTCTGGCCAAAAGTAAGCATGTGAATGCACGCACATACACACACACACACACACACACACACACACACACACATGCAAGCTGTGGGCACAGCTCCCTGGACCCTCTCACTGCCACCCTCCTGCCCTTCCATGAGCAGGTTCCCCTTCACACCACCAATCACCTGAACAGATGGCGGGAAAGAGTTCTTGCTTTGAGAGCGGATGGAGGCAAGGTCACTGTTGGTGCGTGAGCAACTGGGCTGCAGGGCAGTGAAAAATCAATGGATCACTTCCCTCTCATCACTTTTCTGCCCCAGATTCAGCTGAAAGATGGTTCAGCTTGCAGCTGAGAGGCAAAGTTCGTAAGGTTTACTCTCTCACACCTTTTTATTTTCCTTCTTCTTTTCACTTTCTCAATTTTCAACCTCCATTCACTCTTTTCTTTCTCCTCTACTACGTCTTCTCTTTCCTTCGGTAGGGGGAGGAATGGGGATGGTGAGGGGACTATGGGTGATGGGAAAAAAGAAAAGCAGCCCCTGACATTTAGAAGCTGGCCT